GTGGCCATATCTGACCCCCCCCCTCCCCCCCCCCTCCTGTAACCGTAAGAACAGAGAAGACGTGGCAGAAATTGACACAGGCAGTACTGAGCTGTTTGAATCTTAGGACTGGATGGACAGAGATACAAATGATTTGGGACTTTAAATCGCACTCGTCTGTATCTCATTTGTACATTTAGCTGTTTGCCCGGAGTTTAGCTTTTACATCACTTTCATTTCAGCAGCTTACATCTGTTAACATGCGTGTAGTAAAAATGAACCGCACCAAGACCTTTAAATGACTAGATATGCCCGGCGGGACTTTATTGCAGTCTCTGGAGTGGAGCAACTGGGTGTGCCCCTTTTGGGTGTACCAGGCAGAACCTGCTTTCTGGAGACCATGGCTAAGGCTGTGTAATAGAGCCGCTGCTATCCGCTCCTTCTGCCCTGAGCCCTGTATAAAATAGTTATTACATTGTGCTTATATTGATCTGTTAGGCCCCCTTCACATGGGCTGATCAGGATATGTGTCCGTTTACATCAATTACCCCCCGATCCGGCACGATCCGGTCTGGCAAAACGGAGCACTGTTCCGCAGTGGCATCACAAGGAGGGTGCAGCCCGCACAGGGTGCCAACATTGGAGGGGTGACGCCAAAATGACTGACAGGCACGGCGGGGTGTCATCGGTCCCCGCCCCCGGGTGACACACAGCCTCTGGACGCCACTGCTGTTCCGTTTGTTTTTCTGGAACTCGCCGAAGTAACTGGGTGTAAACGGACGGGCGTTTGTTTGCACGCGGCTGCCCATAAACTTGCTTTGGGCATCCGATTGGGTCCGCTTGGAAAACTGACGGGAGGACCCGATCTGACCAGCCATGTGAAGCAGCTAATAATAATATAGCAAATTGCATTGTATGTAATACATCCAACTTGGAAGCCCGAGAAACGTTTTTTTTTGCTTTAATGCTTCCCTGTTTAATCCCCGATAATCTCATAGAAGGGAATTTATCAAAACTGGAGCAACTGTGCACGGCAACCAATCGGCTTCTCTCTTTCATTTTCAAACCTTAACTGAAGAAAGAAACTGATCAGTTGCCATGGGTAACAGCTCCAGATTCTGTCTGCTCCAGTTTTGATAAATTCCCCCCATTACACCTGACCTAGTCCTAATTCACTCCTTCCTCTTCCTTCTATTCTTAGCTTGTGGTTTTTTATAAGCTGGATGCAGGAATGAACCTTCCCACACCCGGCCGGCAGCCAGACACAGCCTGCATCTCCGGAATGTCGGAATTTTGTTAAAATCCCAGGATAGCCCCTCAAAATACAGGACTGTTGTGAGGTATGTCTAACTTCAGTCTATCATTTTAGGCTAAATATAACAATGAATGAACTGAGAGCAGGTTTGCCGTGAGCAGTGGCGGACCTAAGGAACAAAGGGCCCTGGTGCAAGATTTTTTTTGCCCCCCCCCCCCCCCCCCATTTTATGCTCAAATTGTACAACATTTTTTAAAATTCTTTTTATCCTCTTTTTAAAAAAAAATATATTTTCAGAACTCTTTGTGCCAAATAACATAATTTGTGTGTTGTTATAAACGAGTGAAATTGCAAAATAAAATGTGTTTTTTATATAGAGTAACACTAGTGGTTTTTAAACGGGTCATATTGGGAGAGAGGGGTATAAGGGGAAACATACGCTTTTTTTTTCTTTTTTATAATGTAATCATCCTTGGAGAAGTGTTTTTTGACAAACCATTGTAATTGTTTTGTAACGTTATCGTACATAGTGACAATGTTATGGCAGATCAAAGGATGAACGGCAGAAATGTAAAATTCATTGTGTCCAGGTTAGGGTATGTCCGCTGTGTACTGACAACACAGCCCAGAGCCTGCTTGATTGACAGCTAGCTCTGCCTCTCTAGAGCCAGAGCCAGCTGTGCCCGCCCCCTCCCCTGTTTGTCCTTCCAATGAGCTCTGGGGAATCCCTGTGGGGAGCGGTGCCAATGCTCTCTGCAGGGAGATGGTGATCAGCAGGTAAATAATCACTCAGCTCTCCTTTAAGGTGCCAATACACCTTACGACCATCGCAAGACGGGCCGGTGTGCATGCGCACACCGGCTCGGTCGGCAGTTGTCGAACAAGCAGGCCAGTGAGGGGCGGGCTTCCTATCATTGCAAACGGGCAGGCCAGTGAGGGGCGGGCTTCCGATCACTGCAAACGGGCAGTGTGCGCGTGCGCACACCGGCCCGTTCGGCAGTTGTCGAACAAGCAGGCCACTAACCTGCCGAGAATCGTGCGATTCTCGGCGGGGTTTCAAGCCTGCTTGTTCGACGGAAGACGTGCGACCGTACAGTAGAAACGGTCGCACGCCTTCCATACACTGTACGATTCTGGTGCGATCGCGGGATTTCCCTCGTACGAG